TATAAAATGATAAATATTATGTGTATTTTACCACAATAAAAAATTTATTAACCATTTTAAAGTGTACAATTCAGTGGCATTTAATACATTCACAATGTTGTGCAACCATCATCTCTATCTAGTTCCAAGACACTTTTATCACCCCAAAAGGAAACCGTGTACATTAAGCAGTCACTTTCCATTCCCCCACTTTCCTGCCTTCTCTGTGGCAACCACCAGTCTGCTTTCTGTCTCTATGGACTTACCTATGTCCGTCAACAGATATTGAATAAACAAAATGAGGTATATCCAGACAGTGGAATATTATTCAGCCATAAAAAGGGGAGAAGCACTGATACATGCCACAAAGTGGACGGCCCTCAAAAACATGATGCTTGGTGAAAGAAACCAGACACAAAAGTTCACGTGTTGTATGATTCCACTTATATGAAATACCCCTGAACTTTTCCATTTCATGAGCCAATACATGACTTTTTTGTTTAAGCCAGTTGGGGTTGAGTTGCTGTGACTTGCAACCAAAAGATTTAACTGATGCAGCTGTCAGACATACAGGATGTCACTGTGGCTTTGGGGGTATTTAGTTCTGGTATAAACAAGCCCTCACATCCCTGCACCTGCCCAGTATTGGCTCATCCAGACATCCCAAGGGGCTCAGCTCTCTCCAAGGTCCCTCAGATTCTAAATTCTAACCAACCTCCATGGCCTCCAGGACTCTCAATGATGTTGCTGTGGACTGAGATTCCTGAAGCAGATTTATCATGAAAGCTGGTTAAATTGCATCTTCCAAAGCCACTTATTGTATTAATGCATTCATATGAAACGTCCAGAATAGGCAAATCCATACAACGGAATATTACTCAGCCATAAAAAGGAATAGAGAACTGTTTCACACCACAACATGGATAAATCTTGAAAACATGATGCCGAGTGAAAGAAGCCAGTCACAAAAGACCATATATTGTATGATTCTGTTTATAAGAAATGTCCAGAATAGGCAAATCCATAGAGACAGAAAGTGGATTAGTGGTTACCAGGGGCTGGGGAGGAGGAATGGGGAATGACTGCTAATGGGGACAGGGTTTCTTTTGGGGATGATAAGAATGTTCCAGAATTAGGTAGTGGTGATGGTTGCACAATTTTGTGAATATATAAAAACCACTGAATTATACACTTTAAAATGGTGATGTTTTGGGGGGTGTTTTTTGCTGAGGAAGATTGGCCCTGAGCTAACATCTGTTGCCAATCTTCCTCTTTTTATATGTGAGCCGCCCCCACAGCATGGCCACTGACAGACGAGTGGTGTAGGTCCGCACCCGGGAACTGAACTCGGGCCACCAAAGTGGAGCACATCAAACTTAACCACCAGGCCACAGGTCTGGCCCAAAATGGCGATTATTAATTATATCTCAGGTATATTAATTATATCTCAGTAGAAAATATGCATCTTGCAGGTCCTTACCCTCATACCTACTCAGTCTGTGAGCACCTGAGTCAGGTTCCCATCCCTCCTTTGCCCACAGCCCTCCAGGGATCTCACCTCCCTCGGGGGATAGAAGCCCAAGTCCTCTCCGTGGCCCACCAGGCCATGCATGACCTGCCCCGGCCCCTCCCTGCCCTCCCCTCTTCCCTCTCTCCCCTTCGCTCACTCTCCTCCAGCCACATGGGCCTCCTCGCTGTTCCTCCAGAACATGAGGCACAGTTATGCCCCCGGGCCTTTGCACTAGCTATTCACTCCTCTTGGAATGCACGTTTCCCTGTGTTACAGATTGAATTGTGTCCCCTACCCCCAAATTCATATGCTGAAGCCCTAACTCCCAGGACCTCAAAGTGTGCCTGTATTTGGAGATAAGGTCTTTAAAGAGGTAAGATTAAGGTCAAATGAGGTCTTTAGTGTGGGCCCTAATCCAATATGACGGGTGTCCTTATAAGAAGAGGAGATTAGGACACAGACACATACAGAGGGAAGACCACGTGAGGACACAGGAGAAGACGGCCCTCTACAAGCCAAGGAGAGAGGCCTCAGAAGAAACCAACCCTGCTGACACCTTGATCTCAGACTTCCAGCCTCCAGAACTGTGAGAGAATAAACTTCTCTTATTTCAGCAGCCCCCCCCCCCAGGCTACAGGACTTTATTATGGCAGCCCAAGAAAGCTAATACGCCCTAATGCACACAAGGTTCCTTGCCACCTCCTTCAGATCTTTGCACAAAGGCCACCTTCTCAATGAAGCCTCCTCTGATCACGCTATTTAAAATCGCAACTCCCCCCTTCTGGCATTTTCTATTCCCTCTAACTGTGCTTCATTTCTTTTCTTTACTGTTCATCTCCCCCAAATAAAATGTCAGTTTTAGGAGGACAGGGCCATCGCTTTGCTCCTTGGCGGATGTCCATCATCTCCAATAGTAATAGGCCCTGGATAAATCTTTGCTAAATGGATGAATGGCGATGCAAACTGGAAATTTGCCTTTTTTCTTTTTTGGTGAGGAAGATTAGCTCTGAGCTAACATCTGTGTCCATCTTCCTCTACTTTATATGTGGGATGCCTGCCACAGCATGGCTTGATGAGCGATGAGTAGGTCCACACCTGGGATCCGAATTGGCGAACCCCGGGCCACCAAAGCAGAGCACATGACCCTAACCACTACGCCGCGGGGCCGGCCCCTGGAAATCTGCATTTTAAACAAGCTCTTCACGTGATTCCCATGTACTTGATAAGCCCTACTCTGTGATTCTACAATATCAATGTTTGCATTTTTGGAATGCCTCCTATACGTGGTTGGGCACTCAGATTTATTCCATTCTCATGACAACCCTGGGAGTTTTTAATGCCCATTTTATCTATGAGGAAGCAGGCTCAGAGAGGGAAAGAAAGCTGCCCAAGATTATTAACAGCAGGAGTAAGTCCGTGGAAGAGGTGACATTTAATTCCAGGGTGGTGAGAATCTAGGGCAGACTTTCCTGACCACAGCTTCATCACATCGCCTCGCGTGAGAGCCCGCCATGCACTCAATTCTCAGTACTCTCTCTCTATTTTTTAATTTATATATATTTTTTAAAATATTGTATATATTTAAGGTATACTGTGTGATGACTTGATATATATTCATAGTGAAATGATTACTATAGTTATTTCACTATATAGTCATTTCACTAATAGTCAAGCTAATTAACATATCTTCTCCTCACATAGTCATCATTTTTGTGTGTGATGAGTGTACCTGAAATCTACTCTCTTAGCATATTTCCAGCATTCAATATAGTGTCATCGTCTAGTCATCACGTGTGTACATTAGATCTCTAGACTGATTCATGCTACAAAACCGCAACTTTGTACCCTTTGACCAACATCTCCCTATTTCCCCCATCCCCCAGCCCCTGGTAACCACCATTCTGCTGTCTGCTTCTATGAGCTTGACTCTCTCTCTCTCTCTCTCTCTCTCTCCCCCTATATATATATATATATCATGGAATCCTTGCAACAATCCTGCAAGGTAATTACTATTATTATCTTAATTTTACAGATAAGGAACTGAGCCAGAGACCGCCAGCTAGGATGCAAATTCAGGCAGGGTGACTTCGAACACCATGACATAGCTGCATATATGAATCAACTCAATACACAGGGTTCATTGTATCTGTGTATTTCACAATTCCATCTTCAGATTGTGTCTTCTTCTCAGTTATTGCCACATCCACCATCTACCTAACCCATTATACATGGAACATGGACTTTAAATTACCCTTAACATAAATAAATGTATTTAAGAAGAGAACTTTACATTCTACTATCAAAGGAAACTAGGATGGTTTGCTATAAACAGAAGCCAGTGTGAAATAAATATGATGTCAACAGTGTTATTAAATTCTAACTGGATCCTGTGGCCTGCCCAAGGCCTGTTCTCTCTCTGTCAAAAAGAGATTAGCAACAGTTAGAAACAGTAAAAGACATAGTAGCAATTCAACATCCATTCTTGATAAAAGAAAGAGAAAGAAAGAGAGAGGAAAAAAAAAAAAAAAAAAAACCTCTTGGCAAAGCAGGAATGGAAAGGAACTTCTGTAACCTGATAAAAAGCATCTTCAAAAAGCCTTAAACCTTTGTTTTAAATGAAAAGCAAAACGTTATCCTTAATAGTAAGATGCTGAAAAAAGTCCCATTGAAATCAGAACAAAGCCAAGGGTGCCTGCTGTTACCATTTCTGCTCAACAGTGTATCAAAGATCTCAGCCTGCACTGCAAG